CTGTCACTTTACATATATGTTACAACGTGAATAGACTATACCACCCTTATAGACATCCTTAACTGCATGCAGGTTCATCAGGACTATCGTTAAGTGCACCGATGTGTCCTAAAAGACCCCAACGATATCCAACAGAAGGAACATCTTAAAGACTGCCTTTGTCATATGTACGGCCCCTGAATCCCATCATACTCTCACACCTCTCGCTTATATTCTCTCACATTTGACTTGGGCATTGCTTACCAGATGGTTTTAAACCTAGTATAGCTGCCATTAGTGCACTCTGGTAGTATAGCTCAAGTCTTTTATTGCTCACTGCTGCATGTCTGGTGGCATTGTTACTATTTATGCTGATCTGAAAAGGCAAGCGTCACCCTTTACCTGATCCTAATTGCTAAATATCCTGTATACAAATTTTCTTATTACCATTATTATTTCACCTGTTATCCCTGCCTGAATTTACCAACTTTATTCCATGGCATTAAGTCTGTTTATACCAATTGGTTTGGTGCTTCCGTTCTTGAAGTTTAGCATTACATTTTGGTATTAATGTCAGTGATTTGTGTGGTTGTGTACTCTGGTGTGTCAAAGGGGTTGAGGTCTTTGAGAAGGTCGAGGCCAGTAACAGGCTGACATGGTTGACATGTTTGACATATGAAGTGATGCCACAAGTACAATTTAGAAAAATATTTGTCTTGTGTTCTATGAATTCTATGGATAAAGCTTACAGGCATATAACCTCTAAAACTTCAAACAGAATGCTCGGGTATACTTTGGTTTTATTCATGTAATGATTTTTAGCTTTGTATGAGAGAAGCACACTAAAATTTTCAATTAAAGCAAACCTTTCATAAAAAAATATATGGAGTCGCCAATGCCAAAGATGCTATTTTATTGGCTGTTATGTTCACTCACTGGCTTCAATACTTTGCATCACTAAGTCAAACAAAATTAGAGAAAGTTAGAAGTCCTTATCTTCTATGGGGAAATGAATGTATGGAAGAAAATTGGCTAGAATTATAGCCTGTTGCATAGTATTTGTTTATAAAAGGAGAACCAAGGTATCACAAATTTTATATTTTTCTCATGAAAGGCCTCCATTAAGAACAGATTAACATGAGAAGCCTCATATCCTAATTATGGACTGCAGTTCTTGCCTAGACACAGAATGAATATGGTTACCCATCAAAAAATGTTTATTTAGATATAAAACAACCTTTCAAAACATATTTACAAATTAAGTACAGAATATACAGAAAGTACTTGTAAACATAATTTACAGACATAAACCTTGTTGTGACTAATACAATCTTTTTTATTTTTTTAATTTATTTTTAAATCAAGAACTTTTCAAAAAGAACAAAAACATTCTTCAATTTTTATATTTTTGTAGTAATACAAATAAAAAAAAAAACAACAACGTTAAATATACAGAGTGCAATCTGTATCAGGTGTCAGTGCAGTGTGAATGACACCCCAAACGTATTGCACAAACACAGTGTGTTTGCATGCACCGCATTGCATGATACAATAGTACCATGTGATTGATCCAGTTGCAGTGCGTTTTATAAAGCAGTGTATGCACTACTTTTGGTGAGGTCTGCTGCGATTTCAGCTCATTCAAATGACTAGGCTGAAATTGCAATGCACCCAGATCACACGTGAAGCGCACAGGAACACAGAGCGTTCCTGCGAGATTCATGGGGTGAACCAGCCCTAAAACCAAACAATGTGGCTTACAAATTCAGGAGCAGTTTAACTGCGGTTTCACACTACCGATCACAGCGAAAACTTCGAACACAGCCAGCAAGTACAGCATGTCAGCATAACATGTACTTACATGATTTACAATATTTAATGAATAAAAGTGTAAAGTGCAAACAATAAAAAGATTTTAATGTTTATAAAAAGATCCGGGGTCCAAGTTCTCATTTTTTTATCAATCATATTTAGTAATAGTTACCGATAGGAAGTGTTAAGGGTGGTAGACCATTGACTATACAATCTTTGAAGAAATTGCATTAAATTCTTCCATGGTCCAGCAGCATTGGTATCACCGACATACACAAGACTTTTGACAGCAGCTCTCCTAGCAGAGAACCCAAATACACAAACATTAACATTATATACTTGAACATACAATGAAGAGTAGAAACGTAGATTTCTAGTACATATCTAACCATTATAGTGTGTACAAGTATTACATGGGAAATACAGTCAGGTCCATAAATATTGGGACATCGACACAATTCTAACATTTTTGGCTCTTTACACCACCACAATGGATTTGAAATGAAACAAACAAGATGTGCTTTAACTGCAGACTGTCCGCTTTAATTTGAGGGTATTTACATCCAAATCAGGTGAATGGTGTAGGAATTACAACAGTCTGCATATGTGCCTCCCACTTGTTAAGGGACCAAAAGTAATGGGACAGAATAATAATCATAAATCAAACTTTCACTTTTTAATACTTGGTTGCAAATCCTTTGCAGTCAATTACAGCCTGAAGTCTGGAACGCATAGACATCACCAGATGCTGGGTTTCAACCCTGGTGATGCTCTGCCAGGCCTCTACTGCAACTATCTTCAGTTCCTGCTTGTTCTTGGGGCATTTTCCCTTCAGTTTTGTGTTCAGCAAGTGAAATGCATGCTCAATCGGATTCAGGTCAGGTGATTGACTTGGCCATTGCATAACATTCCACTTCTTTCCCTTAAAAAACTCTTTGGTTGCTTTTGCAGTATGCTTCGGGTCATTGTCCATCTGCACTGTGAAGCGGCATCCAATGAGTTCTGAAGCATTTGGCTGAATATGAGCAGATAATATTCCCGAAACACTTCACAATTCATCCTGCTGCTTTTGTCAGCAGTCATATCATCAATAAATACAAAAGAACCAGTTCCATTGGCAGCCATACATGCCCACGCCATGACACTACCACCACCATGCTTCACTGATGGGGTGGTATGCTTAGGATCATGAGCAGTTCCTTTCCGTCTCCATACTCTTCTCTTCCCATCACTCTGGTACAAGATGATCTTGGTCTCAGTCTCATCTGTCCATAGGATGTTGTTCCAGAACTGTGAAGGCTTTTTTAGATGTCGTTTGGTAAACTCTAATCTGGCCTTCCTGTTTTTGAGGCTCACCAATGGTTTACATCTTGTGGTGAACCCTCTGTATTCACTCTGGTGAAGTCTTCTCTTGATTGTTGACTTTGACACACATACACCTACCTCCTGGAGAGTGTTCTTGATCTGGTCAACTGTTGTGAAGGGTGTTTTCTTCACCAGGGAAAGAATTCTTCGGTCATCCACCACAGTTGTTTACCGTGGTCTTCCGGGTCTTTTGGTGTTGCTGAGCTCACCGGTGTGTTCCTTCTTTTTAAGAATGTTCCAAACAGTTGTTTTGGCCATGCCTAATGTTTTTGCTATCTCTCTGATGGGTTTGTTTTTTCAGCCTAATGATGGCTTGCTTCACTGATAGTGACAGCTCTTTGGATCTCATCTTGAGAGTTGACAGCAATAGATTCCAAATGCAAATAGCACACTTGAAATTAACTCTGGACCTTTTATCTGCTCATTGTAATTGGGATAATGAGGGAATAACACACACCTGGCCATGGAACAGCGGAGAAGCCAATTGTCCCATTACTTTTGGTCCCTTAACAAGTGGGAGGCACATATGCAAACTGTTGTAATTCCTACACCATTCACCTGATTTGGATGTAAATAACTTCAAATTAAAGCTGACAGTCTGCAGTTAAAGCACATTCTTATTCGTTTCATTTCAAATCCATTGTGGTGTGTATAGAGCCAAAAATGTTAGAATTGTGTCGATGTCCCAATATTTATGGACCTGACTGTATTGCGGTTATGTGTCTATAGTGCTACCCACGGTGTCAGTCATCTAAGGCTACATTCACATGGATGACTAGGGGCATACAGCGGATTTCTACAGCAAAAATCAGCAGATCACAGGTGTATGTGAACTGTTCACATGTATCCACACATCCAGGGGTCACCTGCAGTTAGGGACAGGTGAGCAACTGTGGACGCAGAAAGACTGCGATAAGGGTCGCACATCTGTCTCTACCTTCAGATAACTGCTGGATGTGCAGATACATGTAAACAGCTGTGGCTTCTGTCAGTCTGTCATTGCTCTGTTCAGGTTTCCTGGCAGCAGCAGTTTGCATCTGTGCTCCCAGCTACAAAAATCCGCTGTATGCCCCTAGCCACTGGCATGAATGTAGACTTTTACCTCCAAAGCCGGTAAAGTCTCCTGCTGTTCTATAATATATGCTGCAGGACACGATAATTGCAATACACATCTGCCCACTAAGAGTACCAGGGTGGTGTCTACCATAAATTTAATGGGGCAGCCAGGGTAAAAGGCAACGCAACAAAGATTAAAAAAAAAAAAAAAAAAAAAAAACCCAAAAAACTTAAAAGTATATCTAAACCCAGAAAAAACTAATATATTACATCTTACCAAAGCAGCTCAATTGCCATGCAGACATCATTCCACATAATGAGCTGAAATCTCACCAATGGAGACACAAAAAGCAATAAAAAGACTGACAGAGGTTCAAAAAAGAACTGTATCCAAAACTGGAAAGAAAGTGTTTTTGCTGGAGTCAGCTGGAGGATTACACAGTTCACAACCAGCAATGTATACAAGCAGACAAATTACAGGCTCCAATAGCATATCCTGGCTTTGAATTTCACACACAAATATAATTTGTATCATGGAGCCTGTCTAAAAGGATATTATAAATATGGCTTTATGAAGATCATTATTCTCATGTGTTTAATGCAAACATATCAAAGATGTTGCAGGGGTTGAAAAACAAAACATCAAGAAATGACACAATTTGTTCTCCAATTAAAATTTACTGCATTAAATATGGGAGGACCAAGTGACAGATCTGAAAAAAAAACATCTGAAAATAATTTATGATCACAAAAATGAATACTTACAAAGTTTTATAACACTTGTTATTTTATGAGAGAGGATCAGGAATCATAGATTCTGTAATTTCAAAAGTTTCGATTATTTCCTAGAAAACAAAAAATACATGTTTACAAACGATTTTTAACACACAAAAACTGTCAGCCATTTTCAACATTATCTAAACTAAAAAATCAGCACAAGACAGCATCGCAGGTGGCTCAGCAATAAGAGCTACTGCAGGATTGAGCAGAGGTCGTGGGCTCAGATCCTGGTCCTGAGACAGGCTAGTTTTAGACGGATAAATGCAGTGTAAGAGCATGGCCTATGTCCAATCAGAGCACTTCAGGGGTCATTAAAGTGGAGGTTCAGCAGATTCCTATTGCTTTCCTTCCAGGTGACAATGGACACCAGGACAGGAAGTGGACGTGGGTTTGGGGTGAAACTCCTCAACAGAGACCAACACAGCAAAAACCAGACAGAGGTTCAACCCATTTTCCACTCTAAACCCATTTTTTCACTAAAGCTGAAGTTTAATTTGCTTATTTTGCCTTCCAGTGCCAGATGGCAAAATACAACAGTTGTAGCAGGGTTTTGTCCATCCGTGCTGAATAGCATCAGCAGAGGAAGCTTTTCGATTTCTTTCATTCAGTGAAAAAAAAAAAAAAATCTATGGTTGTATGGCCAGCTTAAGATGTAATCACACGAAATGCGCAAAGAACTAGAACCAATTGAAGATACTGTACACCATGTCCAAAACATTTGTTGATTAGCTAAATCGATTCTAGAAGTTTTTACTTTTCTCCAAAGTCTGTTGGCTCCAGTTGTTATACTGTAGATCAGCCCTGAAGTGTGGAAAACACAAACTAAACGCATTTTCCACACTGAAATGACATCTTGTTCTTCCTACATTTAAACATTGCATGCATTGAGATGAAACGATCAGTATGTGAAAAGTACTGAGCAAGGGAGCAGAAGTAACTCAACTCTATAGCAAAGAACTTATCTAAGTAATCATGGATTGCTCCGTATACAAAATATATAATTATACATATATAAAATATATAATTATATTAACCGCTTCCCAACTGCCCTATAGCAGATATACTGCTACAGGGCAGCACGGGTGCGCAAAATCACATACATACATACATACATATATATATATATATATATATATATACACTCAATTTTGCATTTACAATTAGGAAGCACAAGCGCGCCCAACCCCTTTGCCATTCGCGGCTGTCAATCACCGGGTCCCGACTGGTGATTACTTGCCGGCGCCCAGTGATTGCCGAGCATCTCTGGGAGAACTGTTTGTAAACAAAACAGTTCTCCTCCTTGACAGCTCGTGCACACTGCTTTGCATGGCTGTGAACAGCACAGCCATGCAAAGCAGTGTGCTTACAGTGACACAGCACTTAGTAAAACAGCACACAGCAATCCCTTTGATCACCCCACATGTTAATCCTTCCTGCCCTGTGCCATTAGTACAGCGTGAGTGCTTTTTTTTTTTTTTTTTTTAGCACTGATCACTGTGTCAGCGACACCAAGTCAGTTCCCCTCAGTGTCAAAATAGTCGCCGCAGTCCCGCTATAAGTCGCTGATCGACACCATTACTAGTAAAAATACACACACACAAAAATCAAGAATAATAAATTCTCATACAATTCTTTAAAATTCCATAAAAGTGTGCAAAACCCAAAGTCCATCAAAATGATGGTAAACAGATGCATCAATGGCAGACAAGAATCTCTACAAAGCATAAAGGAGGATAACAGGGGGTGCAAACAACGTGCAATATTAAAAGGCATACATATACATATATCTTCTTTTTTTTTTTGTTTGTTTTAAATGACTGGCTTCAGTGTTTCTCACAACATAATAAAACTGGAAACAATTAAAAATAAAAGTCACCTTCCAGTCTTGGTGGCTAAGGGAGATGACTCCTTGGTACCTGCGCTGATTATCCTTGTCTTCTTGAGACTCACTTCCTTGGTCTACAGGTTCTATTGAAGGGTAAAATGCACACGATTAAATGGGTTCATTTCAATTAAGCATCTTAAAAACCAAAAACGCGGCTTCAATTTTGTTTTCTCTGTGCTCAATTTAAGGGCTAATTCACACTATGGGGTTGATTTATTAAAATGGGAGAGTGCAAAATCTGGCGCAGCTGTGCATGGTAGCCAATCAACTTCTAACTGATGCAGCATTTTATCATAGTGCACCGCGCCAAATCGCTACAGCAACACAACCCATTGCACTGCTGTACACTGACATGAATGAAGTGAATGTTATGTACATTTCAAATATAGTTTGTACAAAACAAAAGAGGGGAGCCGTCTGATGTGCTGAACCAAGCACCACACTGCACCTTACCGTGACTGGGAACGGAGAACTGTCAAAGCGGTAAAGCTCTCCGGATGCTCTCTATTTAGTGCGATTCGCATTTGATATATTTCTAAGCAAAATCAATATTTTAACTTCAACAGTAAATTCCTCAAAGTGGACTTTAATATATTCTCACAAGACCTCCTTCTCTCTAGTTCCCTGGTCTCCTCCTCCCATGCCTGCCTCCAGGACTTCTCTGGGTGTCACCCATCCTCTGGAACTCCCTACCCCAACCCATCAGATTATCACCTACTCTCCTCTCCTTTAGGCGCACCCTGAAAACCATCTCTTCAGGGAAGCCTACCCCACACCCTGCTAACTTGCCAACCTCCTCCACTCTTCCTACCACTCCATCCCCCACAGCTATCTCCTCCTGTACCACCATCCCCTCCCTTCTAGATTGTAAGCTCGAAAGAGCAGGACCCTCGATCCCCTCATGTTTTGCATTGTATTGGTATTGTTCTGTCACATGTTCTGTCCCCCTTTGTAATGTACAGCACCGAGTGAACTATTGGCGCTTTATAAATACTGTATAATAATAATAAAAAGGTTCAATACTTATTTTACCCACTGTATGAATGTGAGTTAAGGACCTTAGATTGTAAGCTCCTTGAGTGCAGGGATTGATGCGAATGTACAATATATATGTAAACAGCGCTATATGAGTACCTGTAATAAAATAACGATATTGTTGCCATAGACAGATAACATGGCACAGTCATTTTATTTCTTTAGTTTTCCAGCTTACCTATAATTGGCAGCTTGTCATTATCAAGCTTTATTCTCGCAAAACCATCCTAAAATGTGAAGATAGGAAATGGCATGAGAAGAAAAGAAAACCATGCATCAGAGTAAGAAAATATGAAGCACACAATGAAAAGCACAGAGACTGACATGCTTAAAGTGGTTGTAAAGGCTCAAGGATTTTTACCTTCATGCATTTTATGTAAAAAAACCTTCTCTGTGTAGCATCCCCCATAGCCCCCTCAAATACTCACCTAAGCCCCCTCTTGGTCCAGCGATGTGTACTGGAGTTTCGGCTATCTCGGGACTCCCTTTCCACATTGGCTGAGACAGCAGCGGGAGCCACTGTATCTCTCTGTTGTAAATTACAGCCAATGAGAAGTGAGGGGTGTAACATCATGCACACAGGGAGAAGCGCGGTTCTCTATTTTGCTCCAAACTTCTGCATTTTCGTATTTCTCTTAAATTCCAAATCAGTCTGCCTCCTCCAATTTTCCCCCTCCCTCAGGAATGCATTCAGTGTACCTTGCTAGTCCCTGCCTTTATACAATCCTTTTGCCAAATAAGGCAATTGGGTTCTGTTGTAAGAGACACCCCGTTGATTTTGAGTAGAAAAAGAGTGTTATGTTTTGTGTAGACAGAGAAGTGAGGACCTTCTGCGTTTTAACATCTAGCAGACAGAGAAAACGGAGAATCTCATTGTAACAACGAAACTGAGTGCGAGACCAGAAATCCCTTTTTAGCTCATCAGACTTGAAACTGCTTAACCCCAGGCATCTCTCGGCAAATATATATATACATACATACATATATATATATATATATATATATATATATATATATATATATATATATATATATATATATATATATATATATACACACATACATACATACACACACACACACACACACACACACACACACACACACACACACATATACACACACACATATACACATATATATACATAGTTAAATGTTTTTTTCTGTAAATATTTCTACTGCACCCTTTTGACCTTTTAGTAATAAATCTTACTTTCTGAAAGTGTTGAACTGTTTCTATAGCCCTTTAATGTGACTTACGAATCCCTGCAACTGAAGAGCGCTACTATGAGTGTTTAACTCTCTGTATAACCTGTCCACGGAGATAGCAGTACACGGACGATTAACCAGTCATCCTAGTGTATTGCTGAGTTTCCTCTTTCTCCGTAAAAAAGGAGGTGGTGGCAGTGTGAAGGGTTAATTGTGTAATTAACCTGACCCAGTAACAAATCGCTCCCAGGCTGCCGGTACATAGATTGTGGTCCAATTAGCTGGATTGTTGTGCAGGGTGCAGCTGGGCGTGCACGTGACATCGTGGTGTTAAGATTGGCTAGTCCTTCGGTCACGAGTTTGGTGAGAAGGTCAGGGGTCTGACGCAGCGATCGTCACAAGGGGGGGAGGTGGGGACAAGTTGAGGCTCTGTGTGTGAATGGACAAAGAGCAGAGACTGGGGAGTATGCATGCTTGGTTGCCCCCATAGAAAGCTGCTTGCTGTGGAGGCACCCAACAGGAGGGAGGGGCAAGGAGTGCCGGCGGGGGACCCAAGAAGGGGAGGATCTGGGATGTGAGCTGCTCTGTGCAAAACCACTGCACACAGCAGGGAAGTATAGACATGCATGTTATTAAAAAAAAAAAAAAAAAAAAAAAAAAAAAAAACTTTAGAATCATTTTAATCAGACAATTCAGAAAAATTGCATACAATCCTTATACCTACTGTACACCAGTAGCTCCTCACTAGCATTGTCTGTTACATACACCAAATAATCTAAGCAGGAACACCCCATAAAATGTTCCTGTTCGCAAACTTCTCATACATAGAGCAATGTAAACACCAAAAACAGTGAGAGGCTTAACAGTCATTCAGAAAATTGTACACATGCAGCATGCCCATGTGATTTTTTTTTTTGCTCTGCACATCACAGCTGACAGGTCATGTCATAAAAGAGAATGCCATAAGTCCCCTGGTTTCCTACAGAAAAGACATGGCCTTTAAGCCATTGGACAAGACTGGGCATATGGAAAGTATATGATCTGTGGCATGTTCCATGTCTGGGGCACTTTAGTTTAATCACACAAATTAAAATCTGAATTTTTTGCTACAAATTATGTTATAACAATATAGTACAAGTCTATAAAATGGTGGCAGTTTAAAACTTTTTGTATTGTATATTATTTGTGCAACCATTTATCAGTGCATATTTTTGGTCACAAATATGCTAAAATGAATGTACACAAGCACAATATAACACCCATTTTTTGTAAAAGACTAAAGATGGGATTGCGTTGAGTAAATAGAAGCCAAAATATACCAAGACACAAAACTACACATGCCTAAGAAATGGCAAAAAACAATGGTATCTCAAACTGTCCATAAGCAATGCTTTAAAAGCTTTTACCGGATTTTTAATACAGCGTTAATTGAATTATGGCCCTAGAATTATTGCCTTCACTTCCATGATCACGGTGATACTTCACATATATGACACAATTGTTGTTTACACACAGGTACATGCCCTATGCTCACACTTTTACATTTTTGTTATTTTTGACATTTTTTTCTAATACTTATGTTATAGCATGGATGGTTGAAAGGTTCTCTTTATGGGAAGATCAGGAGTCCGTTAGACCTCCCAATATCTCCCCCACTGCAGCTGATCAAGCACATATAGTGCTTGATTAGCTGCTTCCTAGGGGATAGCTAGGAAATGCAAGGAAACTGGAAGTAATGAAATGCTGATCACTTCCATCTTTATTACTTGCAGAGGAGATTGGGAATGGTTGTTCCTTGACTGCTTCCTGCTCTCACTGTTGGGGCAGTTTACCACGATTCTGGGCTCCCCGAAGGAACAGGAGACAAGAGGAAAAAACATGGGCAGCCTTTCTAACAACTGTGCAAGTAAGCCGTCTGGATAACATTCACAGAACAGCCGACTGCCAGCTGAAAAAAGTGATATCAAGCTCAGGGCTTAGTTTAAACCACTTGAATTTCAGGGCAATTTTTAAACAAGGACAGAGAGTGGTTAACCCCTTGGCGCTGGCGCCTCCTGGCCCTTTAAGGGTTTCAGAAGCCAGGAGGCGGGGTTTTAGGGTCATGTGACCGCCGTGATTCGCGGTCACATGATCGGGAAAGGTCCCGATTGCAAGAGTAGACTTGCACGCAAATGTGCGGCTGCTTGGCGTCAAGGCCCAGACACCGAGAGGCCGCACATTTGCGTGCAGCCAGCGCCAAGAGGTTAAGAAAATAAGTATGAGAGACTCTGGGGTACAATTTAACCTATCTGAATATCTAAGCTTCAGTGCCACTCGTGCATAGATGTTTTCAAGTAGCAGACTGGTATATAAATGTAAGGCACACATATAAAACATATTTCTCTCAAATTACAATAACTCAGATCTGTTTTTAAAAAAAAAAAAACAAACAAAAAAACACTAATAAGGGAAGTATGGAAACTGCCATTGCGGTCTTCCTCCTGAAAATGCTAGCTCTCTGGCTCTCTCTGGCTCCATAAGTTCCTAACCCAGAAGTATTTAACAAGTGAAGCTGGATTCAAATAAAACAGGCATTGCAACTGCCATGCCACAATACAGTAAAACAGAGGATAACAAAATTCTAATTTAAAGAGAAACTATAGCCAAAATCAAAGATGACATAGGACAGGACTGAAGTGTCCGCATTGACACTTTACCTTTTATTTTTTCGAGTCACCCTTGTGAAAGTGTTATTGTCTGTTGATCCTACCACAAAATTATTTGATAGTTTACTCCTTTTACTAGGCCAAGCTGCCCCGCAAAAGCATCAGTCTGAACAAGCCGTTATGCCGGGTACACACGGGCCAAATATCAATTACAGTAGAAACCGTCCGACTTTCAGTCCATGTGTTCAGCTGCCCTTCTGACAGAGGCCAATCTCATAACCGGCTTCTGACAAACGAGCATGCTTGAAAACCAGCAACAAGGGGCGATCCCACTATCAGAACACAAGAGCGCAGCAGGGGAGATCGCCGCACTAATATCAATTGTGTCGGTACGGAGATCTGTCAATTTTTTTTGGTTCAGCCCACTGGGTTGAAGGAAAATAAAAAAAAAAAAAAAAAAAAAATTATAGCATGTACCTGGCTTTAGACTACATTAGCTTGTCGCTAAATTCTAAATGTTTTTAACCATAATACATTCTCTGCATTAAGGTAAAAAACTCCCCACTCTTTGTCCTACCCACCTCTATCCCTAAACACGTACCTGGCTCCAACCACTACATCAGCACTTTCCCAGCTGCAGCCCTGAGGACAGTTGTCAGTCAAACACCTGTAAGGAGGTTGCTGAGAGGTGTATTACCAGCACTGTATGTCTATGGATGCACACAGCCCAACTTGGGAACATGCACACATGGGTACCTTCATAGCAACCAGCAGGCACCAATAGTGCTGGTAGGAAACTGCCAGAAGAGGAGGAAATAGATATCTTTGTGCAATATCAATGCATTGAGCATGGAAGTATAACATCTTTTTTTTTATTAAAATAAAAAGTATTTATTATCACTTTAACCGCATTCCCGCTGCCCTATAGCAGATATACTGCTACAGGGCAGCAGGAGTGCACAAAATCACATTATATATATATATATATAAATTACATACATACACACACACACACACACATATATACATATATATATACATACACACACGATTTTGCATTTCCGGGTAGGGGGCGAGCTTGAACCGCGGGCGCGCCCTACCCTTGCCACCATTCGCGGCTGTCAATTACCAGGTCCCGGCCGGTGATTACCGAGCATCGCTGATGGCGAGGACTGTTTTGTTTAAAAACAGTCGTCCTCTTTGTCAGCTCGGGCACAGCCATCCAGAGCAGTGTGCTTACAGTGAAGCCCACAGACACCGCCCTCCAGTAAAAAACACTCCCAGCAAACAGTTAACCCTTTGATCGCTCCACATGTTAACCTTTTCTTACCTAGTGCCATTAGTACAGTGTCAGTGGAGTTTTTTTCTAGCAGTGATCACTGTATTGGTGTCACTGGGGATGTCAGTGACACCAAGTCAGTTCCTCCCAGTGTCAGAATGCCCGCCGCAGTCCTGCTATAAGTCGCTGATCGCCGCCATTATTAGTAAAAAACAATTAAAAAAACAATTTACTTACAAGTATTGGGATTTTTTTTAACAGACATGTAGCAGAATACATTTTGGACTAAATTTATGACGAAATTTGATTTTTTTTAATTTTTTCACTGGACATGTTTAATAGCAAAAAATATAATAAAGTCAAAAATATTTTTTTTTTTTGTATAGCACAAAAAAGAAAAAAAAATTGAATAGCACAGGCGATCAAAAACCACCGAAAGATAGCTCAATTCGTGGGGAAAAAAAAAAAAAAAAAAAGACAAACGTAAATTTAATTTATGTGCATGACAGCGTAATTGTCAGTTAAAGGAACACAGCGCCATAACGCAAAAAATGGACTGTCAGGAAAGGGGGTAAATCCTCAGGAGGGCAAGTGGTTAAAGTCCAGTTAAAACTACATGTGTATCCACGACTATACTGTCCAGAGGGACACAACGCTGCTGTGCAATTTTACTGCAGAACATTGCTGTCACCCTGTTGAAAGAAGGGGTGAATTTAAAATTTACGGGCAGGATCAAGAGGTAATAAAACCATAAGGGGGGACTCTGGCATTAATACAGCAGCTTTTGTTTAGTTTAGAGACTGCATAATTTTTGCAATTTTTGATTTTGCTCATAGTTTTTATTTTAAAGCTACAATCGCACGGGTGACTGGTTCTGGCACGAATGACAGCGACAGGAATCTGCCGATTTCTGCAGCTGTTTAAGCCATGTGTGAGCAGCTAGCTGTGGCCACTGAGCCCTGTACACTTCAATGACAGGTCGGCAGCCGCAGAAGCTATCCGTGGCTGTACACCCAGCCTGAAAGCACTCAGTGTGCTTCCAGCAGCAATCATCGAAAGCAATCACTGGCTGGGCTGACACTTTGGACACCACCGACCTGTAAATGAAGTGTATAGGGCTCAGTGGCGGCAGCTAGCCACTCCCAGGTGACTGAAACAGCCACAGTAATCAACAAAATTCTGCAGCTGTGCTTCACACTGGCACTAGTCACCTGTGCGAATGTAGCCTAATGCTGGCCATACATGAGACGAATTCCAAACGAACTTTCTTTAGAAAAGAAGTTTTATTTCGCGTTTCACACCATTAGTTGGCCACAGCATTGGTCGATTTTCATGTGGCCATCTAATTTGAGTGATCGGGAATGTTAAAACATTTTTGAAAAACTAAGGAATTTCTAATCAATGATGGGAGAATCATGCGAGAAATAGAATCGAAAAAGAAATAAGCATGAGCGGTGACCTGGAAAGAAAAGAAGATCCCATGCAACAAATTCTTTTCCGTAACAACCTGAAGTGAAATTGAAGGTTTGGTCAAATTTCAAAACCAATGGCGGCACCATCAGATAACAAAAACGCACAAAAATTGATGATTTTCTAAAGAAAATTCATTCAGAATTCGACCCATGTATGGCCTGCAAAGAACATCAACAGAAAATAGGACCAGCAATTATGTACTGATGTATGGAAGACTTACCCTAATGATGAAAGAAACATGAAAAATATTCTCAACTGTACGAGCAAAAGAATGAGGATTGATAACAAAATCAAAGAACGATATGGGAGTATCAGCTATCAAAAGAAAAAGAAAATGAACAGTAAATACAGGAAATTAAAGAGCCACAAAGCAAATAAAAGATCATATTGTTTGAAAATATTTTCATGCGAAACTGTAACAATGCTCGGTTTCAGGGCTATTAAATAAATCTCCAATCTCTAATTCATCACTTATAACCAAATGCTAACCTGCTAGTGGGAAAGAAGCATAAAATAAAAAAGCAGAGCAAAATAACTGCATTAATAAAGTCTATGGCCAACAATTCAGAACTATAATAAGAAATAGTAACAAAATATTTTCAGATATTTTAGAATTCTTGAACATTGTCTGCCACAAACTGTAGTTGCAAAACCTACAGGCTTGATAACACCATTCAGGTTTGTGAGCTTTGGCTTTTTAAATGGTATGGACTTGCAGGGCAACATACATGTGTTATGTTTTTTGTGCCATGGGGCAATGTTCATGTGTTTTTTCTCTTATGTTCCACTAGGGAGTTTCAGGTGTGCTTTGTCATATGTTTCACAGAGTAATGCTCATGTGTGTTTTGTTATGTACAGTGGATATAAAAAGTCTCCCTGTTAAAATGTCAGGTTTCTGTGATGTAAAAAAAAAAAAAAAAAAAAAAAGAGACAAAGATTAATCATTTCAGAAAATTGTCCACATTTAATGTTACTTATAAACTGTACAACTCAATTAAAAAAAAAAAACAAACAAATCTTTTAAGGGGGGGTAAATACAAAAAAAAATAGAATAATGTGGTTGCAGAAGTGTGCACACCCTGCCATTTTAACAGGGGTGTGTAGACTTTTTATATCCACTGTATATTGCTAACCAATGTTCTTGTGTGCTTTGCTAATGTGCCACTGGCCGGGCAATGATCATGTATCTTGTTTTTTGTGCCAATGGGGAATGTTCATGTATGTTTTTTTTAAATGCATCACTGGGTAGTGTTAATTTGTGCCTTCTTGCATTCTCATGCATTGTTATACATTTCACTGGGCAATGTTCATGTGTGCCTTAATATAAGTTCCCCTCTGCAATGCTCATGTGTGGGCAATGTTCAAGTGTGTCTTGTTATATGAGCTATTTGGCAATGTTCATATGTGTCTTGTTAGATGTGTCACTGGGCAGTGTTCACATGTGCTTTGTTATATGTGCAGCTGGGCAATTTTTATGTGTTCTTTATTTCAGGGCCCTTGCACCTGGGTTTTCACACTGCCTCCCATTGCTTCAATGCAAAATCACCTGCCATTGACTTCAATGCAAAAATTGCCTCCCACTGACTTCAACTTAAATTAATTAATATTTTCCACAATTTATGCCTGTTTTTATAATGCTGTTTATAATATAGGTTCTTCTTAAAATGCCAATCCTAGGTCTGCAATAGATGAAACTCACTAAGAGCTGATATAGCCGCTTTTAATTTTATTTTATTTACAATCATTCCCCAGCACAGTATAATGTGTATCATTAATTGCAACTTTGTTTCCTGAATGTAGCATGTTGTGTCAGAATTGTTTCTGGTACAGCAGCCATAGGAATACATTACTTGAGTATCTGGTCTCCCACAGTGTTAATTATTGTTATACAGAATTTATATAGTGCAAACAGTTTGCTCAGCGCTTTACAATATAATCACTACCTGATCATTCCGATCGCTCATCGCTTTACAATATAATCACTACCTGATCATTCCGATCGCTCAGCGCTTTACAATATAATCACTACCTGATCGTTCCGATCGCTCAGCGCTTTACAATATAATCACTTTCTGATCGTTCCAATCGCTCAACGCTTTACAATATAAATCACTTACTGATCGCTCAGCGCTTTACAATATAATCACTTACTGATCATTCCGATCGCTCAGCGCTTTACAATATAATCACTACCTGATCATTCCGATCGCTCATCGCTTTACAATATAATCACTACCTGATCATTCCGATCGCTCAGCGCTTTACAATATAATCACTACCTGATCATTCCGATCGCTCAGCGCTTTACAATATAATCACTACTGATCGTTCCGATCGCTCAGCGCTTTACAATATAATCACTTTCTGATCGTTCCAATCGCTCAACGCTTTACAATATAAATCACTTACTGATCGCTCAGCGCTTTACAATATAATCACTTACTGATCATTCCGATCGCTCAGCGCTTTACAATATAATCACTTTCTGATCGTTCCGATCGCTCAGCGCTTTACAATATAATCACTTTCTGATCGTTCCAATCGCTCAGCGCTTTACAATATAATCACTTTCTGATCGTTCCGATCGCTCAGCGCTTTACAATATAATCACTTTCTGATCGTTCCAATCGCTCAACGCTTTACAATATAATCACTTACTGATCGCTCAGCGCTTTACAATATAATCACTTACTGATCGTTCCGATCGCTCAGCGCTTTACAATATAATCACTTTCTGATCGTTCCGATCGCTCAGCGCTTTACAATATAATCACTTTCTGATCGTTCCGATCGCTCAGCGCTTTACAATATAATCACTTTCTGATCGTTCCGATCGCTCAGCGCTTTACAATATAATCACTTTCTGATCGTTCCGATCGCTCAGCGCTTTACAATATAATCACTTTCTGATCATTCCGATCGCTCAGCGCTTTACAATATAATCACTACCTGATCATTCTGATCGCTCAGCACTTTACAATATAATCACTTACTGATCATTCCGATCGCTATTTAAACCCAATTCCAAACACTGGGGCAGGTTATGACAAAGAAGGATTTCCTTTTGAAATGCGTTACTGCCCCCAACACTCCCAGGCACACACAGGAACCACCACGAGGCTAACTACAGTGTTCCAGAACGCCAAACTCCGGCAAGTCCCTGACAGCTGTCAGGTCAAACATATCCTCTCCCTGCTAGCATGAGAAGAACTTTGTCTTTGGCTTCACTTCATCTGCTGATGATGTCTCTGTGCTTCTCCTTGGGTTGGACACCTGTGTTTTAACATGTGAAAGTGTGCTAGGTTTTTATTTCCATTAAATGTGTATAAATGCTGATGGAGGTTTCCCGCTGTTGCCAATTTTGTCTGAGCTTCCCTTGATCTTCCCAGATCTTGCTAACAGCTGCATGCATTTTCATTGCATGACCACTTATCCGGATCTACTCATCAAAAAGATTTAATGGCGAGCTGGAAACTTGCTGACAGCATTCCTGTTTTTTTTTTTTTTTTAAACTGTTAAATTGATAGGTTTAGTAGTCTAGATTGTCAGCAGAGTGATCAGAGATGTGCAATTTTTGTATTACCCAATGCCCGGGATATGCAGTTCCGGGCACCAGGAAGGTAGTTTTTTGTTTCCATGTAGCCCTACTTTGGGCAAGCAGCAGGTTCTGGCAATTCATATTCCCAAGGGGCCACATTAGAAACTGGAACTGTTTGAGGCCTAACTAAATTCTGCTCAATATTAATTTTAAGTAACCATATTAAAAAAAAACAAAAACAAAAAACACCTGGTGGTTGAGCCATGGTTTTACCACCTCGCAGCCGCCGACCCGAACAGTTTTAAATTAACAGCTGGATGGTGATGCTCACAAGCCGCAGAAATTTTAACTTGGGGTACAGAGTTTGAGAAGCGGCACCACTTGTCAAACTTGCTCGTTGGGGCTTCACCACAACCACATATAATGCACGTGATTGCAGCTAAGTAGTGCAGTATTACAAGGTTAAATCAGGAGGTGATCCTCGCTGCCCGCCAAATAACCCCCTGAAAAGCACTGTGACTGAAAGAAGAGAGAATGAGATTGGTAGTGAGGATCTGCAGATCCTGACTTGAAATGAAGAACAGGTACATGGCTCCTGGCGCAGCATCCAGGAACAAACACCAGAAGAACTTGGCTGGGTAGCACATTGGTGGGAGAGAGTCAGGAAGTCTCCTAGGCAATGCTCTCCTGCCAGAAACAAACCTCCCCACTGTATCGATCAGCTTCTCAGGCTCTCTCCTTCCAGATCTCCACATGGACATCTGTCAATGTGCTTCTCTGAGCCAATCAATCAGCACTCTCAGTGAGAAGCACGCTGACAGCAGAGGTATCAAGGACCTGACAGGGACAGCCAGAGGGGGCTAGATGTAGGCTTGGGGCTATAATTTGCCCAGGTCTGCACTGGACACTGTCCACGTGTGCTTTATGTCCTGTTGGGCAGTGTTTATGTGTATTTAGGGATATGTACCGCTGAGCCACATTCATACGTGCTTTGATGTATGTGCCGCTGGGCAATGTTCACGTATGCTTTATTTTTTAAGATGTTTACAGTTCTGCATTGCTGCACTATGACTACATTGATGCAGGTTATTTTTCCTTCAGTAGATAATCAATAGCCGATAGTAAAAATTTTAATGGATACAAATGTCTGTACCTAAGATAGGAACCACAAGATCCTAAATTTACAACAATAAATAAAATTTCCTGAACATGGTTCAACATCTCTCTAATTTACTAAGATACACATCACATTAAATACTACTAAATTAATCCCCACAAAGAGCAAGTTTGGGTTGAGATAGTTTTTGAGATGCAACCTGTTACAAGAGAAATAATTGCTCTGCCATTGCTTCCTTTAGAAGGTGCTAGTACCTATCATGTAAATTCTCTAACTGCACCTAGAGCAAGAATGCCAGTGAAGTCAAAACACAAAGTCACCATGCTTTTCAGCAGTGCATCTGCTGTTGCTGACATCTGCTGAAAATGACAGTTACTTGGTGGTATATTGCCCCCTCTAAAGCCCTGTACACACTGGTCGAATATTGGCCAGTTCAACAGAAACAAGCAGACATTCGGGCCGAGTGTACACCAGCCTCTCCGACATGCTGGAAAACCAGCACCTTATCGGCATCAAATTAGTGCGGGCAGCCAATGGCTGCGACCGCTGACTGGTGTGTTCTGGTGGGGATCAGTCCCACTGTCAGAACACAATAGCTCAGCGGGGAGAGTGTTGTACTAACATCGGATAGTTAGTAAAGCAAGCTCCTCAAAAGCTTTTTTGTTCAGCCCGTTGTTTTGAACAAAAAAAAAACCTGATAGTGTGTACCAGGCAGAAGTCTAGACTTCAATATATAGATGGTAACCATCATCAGATGAAGGAAAATAGCAGCCTCCATATTTCACTCTGCACAGTTTTGCTTTATTGGATAAAGGCAAGCATTTAGTTGTGAAAAAAAAAAAAAAAGCTGTCAGCGCTTAGTGGACAAAAGAAGCAGCTAGCGCCAGAGAATAATAATGGCCCAACAGATATGTTGGTGCAGCACTAAACAAATGTAAACATCAAAAATTGTATACCATTAATCAGTGAAAAAACCTCAATGCAAGTAAAAAAAAAAAAAAAAAAAAAAAAAAAAAAAAAAAAAAAAAAAAAAATTAAATAGATCAAAATTCACAAGAAAAGCATAAATGTGAAGAAATGAACAAATATGAGACTAATCAATAGTCCATATATCCGTGTGTATAAGTAGTCCACCAATTCCTGAACATATGGTGCATAAAATCCCGCTTTACTTAATTCAAGATGTGTGAATTACACTGTGAAAAAAACACCAACAGCACTCCACACATAGACTGCCAAAAGTCTCATAGAAGCGGTTCCTTTAACCACTTCAAGTCTGGACACTTTCACCCCCTTCCAGCCCAGGCCAATTTTCAGCTTTCAGCAGTTGCATTTTGAATGACAATTGTACAGATCATTGCACCCATATGAAATTTGTATCATTTTTTTTTCACTAAAATAGAGCTTTCTTTTGGTGGTATTTGGCTTTGTTTTTGTTATAAAAATGTAGCAAATAAATAATAATCTTTCTTCATACATTTAGGCTAAAATGTATTCTGCTACATTTTGGGGGTAAAAATAACCCAAAACTGTATATTAGTCTGCGTGAAAGTTACAGAGTCTCCAAACTATGGTATATAAATCTGAAAACTGATCAGTTGAGAACCTAAAATGCTGCACGCTGGTATGACATATTGCAGTGATCAGAACGCAGGTATAGCAAGGATCAGGGCGCTGCTATGGCGGTGATCAGGGCGCTGCTATGGCGGTGATCAGGGCGCTGCTATGGCGGTGATCAGGGCGCTGCTATGGCGGTGATCAGGGCGCTGCTATGGCGGTGATCAGGGCGCTGCTATGGCGGTGATCAGGGCGCTGCTATGGCGGTGATCAGGGCGCTGCTATGGCGGTGATCAGGGCGCTGCTATGGCGGTGATCAGGGCGCTGCTATGGCGGTGATCAGGGCGCTGCTATGGCGGTGATCAGGGCGCTGCTATGGCGGTGATCAGGGCGCTGCTATGGCGGTGATCAGGGCGCTGCTATGGCGGTGATCAGGGCGCTGCTATGGCGGTGATCAGGGCGCTGCTATGGCGGTGATCAGGGCGCTGCTATGGCGGTGATCAGGGCGCTGCTATGGCGGTGATCAGGGCGCTGCTATGGCGGTGATCAGGGCGCTGCTATGGCGGTGATCAGGGCGCTGCTATGGCGGTGATCAGGGCGCTGCTATGGCGGTGATCAGGGCTATATGGCGGTGATCAGGGCGCTGCTATGGCGGTGATCAGGGCGCTGCTATGGCGGTGATCAGGGCGCTGCTATGGCGTATGGCAGTGTTTTTGTGAGCACTGGGACAGATGACAGGGGCTGGCTGCATTTTTTATTTACATACCACTGGGGCAGTGATCAGGGACGCTGGGTTGGCTGGCACTGCAGCCTGTGAGTGTGCAAGCAGCCTGACCAGCTGCTTGTACACTCACAGGCTGCAGCATCGGGTTCTCTCTGCTCTCACAGTGAGAGCAGAGAGAACCGATCTTTACTTTTACTTTGTATTGTATGTGTATTATTGATTGGAAGCAGCAATCACATGGTAAAATACTATGCAATAACCTGTTCACAGAAGTGCAGGGCTCCCGGGTGCATGCTCTGTGAGCCACGCAGGAACCTCCGATGTGGGCTGACATACAGGTATGTTAGCCCACATCAGTGCTGCTTCCCGTCCGCAGTCTATAGGCAATGGGCAGACGGGAAGTGGTTAAATGGATCCACTGACAAGATCTTCACAGTCCAGGGTGCATGACTATAGAGTGTGTCCATATGGGATGGATGCTCACCAAACAGAGCCAGATAGAACTTCCATAGTGTAGTATTTATTTAAAAATCTCGGCATGCAGTAGCAAGCAAAACGTAAAAAAAAAACAAAAAAAAAAAAAAAAAAAAAACAAAATGTGGCCAACACACAGAGTCCATGTGGCGGCTTGACATTAGCACTCTAAACTCCACCCAAATTTGTTTAGCACTGCACCCATATATCTTTACATTTAGGTTCGATAATACAAATAATTCAAACTCACGATCTTCTCTAAAATAGCTCTGTAGGTAGCCCAGAATACGCTCCACTTCCTTTTCAGTTGCTTCCTGGTGAGACTCTTCCATCTTTTTCAGCTAAAAATAATGAAATATACATATAATATAAGCAGCACCTTGCTTTTGCAGAACAAGATAAATATCACTACTAAAATAATTTGTGCAACATGAAAAAAAATCACTTTATACAAACCAGTATTTGACCAGGGGAAAGTAACCAGAAATGCACAAATAATTAACAGTGCAGGTATGGTGTTCCATGACGGCAAGGAAAAGAGCTGGTAGACAGATGACAATTTCTTACATATAAAAAAGGGAATATAACCTGTGAGAGGTCTTGCAGTCCATTAAAAGTACCAAAAAGAATTTGCAAGCATTCAATCAGCCACCATTGCTACAAAGCAGACAGTGTTAACTGAGTTTATAGTGGTTGTAAACCTCAGACCTGAAATATGAACAAAATATATTCCTCTATAGTGTGTACATGTCTCAATTAATAGCACTAAGTATCATTTCTAACTGCTACTTCATTGCTCTCCTATCTGCAAGAATTATTTCTTACAATTTTTCCTGACACCAAGAGAAAAAAGGTGACAGGGGAGGGACTTCCAGAAGAGTGACGGCCTTAGCTCAGTACCTGTGTAGAGGGGGTGTGTCTCTTCTCTCCAATCAGAACTCTCCTCACTGGGCTCTGCAGTGAGAAACTTCAGTTCTCTGCCCCCCTTTTTTCTGAACTCTCAGTCAAGCTGTATAAATTTGGCACTTTGAACGCATGAAGGAAGAAAACACTGCAGATCGAGCGTTACAAGATATGTAGTAGGATTGGTTCCATCTCTCTGTGCATCACCTGAGGCCAGTCACTTCATTGGGTATATGTAGGTAACCACTTTAAGGCAAACTGAGTAAACAATCTATTGAATCCCTGGCTTCCAGACCTCTTTGTAGTTCTTCATAAGGCAAGTTGGAGGGCAGTGAAGAGGACTTTCCAAACCTAGTGTACCCTATGTATCTTACTCTCTCATGAACATATCTCAGTTTTTACAGCAGGTGTAAATGTGATTGGTCGCTGTGAGAAACCTCTAAGTCTTAGTATATTTTTTTTTTTATATCAGGCTTTCTATATGCAAGAGACAGCAATGTATTCCAGTATGGAAGTAGGCAATTCTACGATCACCAGATTACTGCTAGACCAGTGGTTCTTAACCTGGGTTCGATCGAACCCCAGGGGTTCGGCGAGTCAGTCTCGCGGGTTCGGCGGAGGTGAAGACCCACACCCGACTCATATGATTCGTGCAGTAAATATTCATTATTATGTTTTTGTGTGTGAAAATCATGTTTTAATGGTTTTTTTCTTTGTTCTTATTGGTTTTGTTCATTTTGTGCACCTATGTATAAATATATACCTAAATATATACCTATGTTTGGAATTTTAAAAATCATATTTTATTTTTCCAATTAAGAAGGGTTCGGTGAATGCGCATATGAAACTGGTGGGGTTCAGTACCTCCAACAAGGTTAAGAACCACTGTGCTAGACAAACTGGATAGATAGATAGATTAGATAGATAGATAGATAGATAGATAGATAGATAGATAGATAGATAGATAGATAGATAGTTCATGGCTACACAGGAGTGCAATCAAAAAACTGCATGTAACAGGGCCCCAAGTTTATTTATAAAATGCTTCATACCTGTGCTGGCATCACCCTCCTCTCTTCAACTTTACTAGCCCTTTGGCGTTCAATTTTTTGCCGAACTACAGCTTCTGTCCTAAAGGAGCCTAGCCTGAAAAAAAAAAAAAAAAAAAAAAAAAAAAAAAAAAAAAAGAGAGATTGAATAGCTTAAAGTGACATTAAACGTTAATTTTTTGTTCTTTTAAAATAGAATGTCATACGTACCTGCTCTGTGCAATGGTTGTGCACAGAGTAGCCCCTCTCCAACTCTTCCAGGGTCCCTCACCAGTGCTCTTGGTTCATTTCACCCCCCCCCCCCCCCCCCCAACCGAGTGTCCACAAAGCAAGCAGTTTACTCTGGGGGCACTCATGCATGTTCACTCCCAAGCCCTGCTCTGGGTGTTCATCCATATGAAGCACCAAACAGGGCTCGCCCCCCCCCCCATCATTGGCTCTGATTGACAGCAGCGAAAGCTGTCATATCGAATTCAACGAGGAGCGAGAAAGCCAAATCAGCCTCAGCTCTCGTGCACATTGATGGATCAAGATCAGGCTTAGGTATGTATTTAGAGGGGTTGCGGGGGATGCTGCACGCAGGGTTTTTTTTATCTTGCTCCATAGAATGCAGTAAGGTGAAACACACCACAACAAAAAACCCTTCTACCTTGGAATTCTTCAGGGGCTCAAGTGGCACACTGATCTAGTGACCCCCCTCACCCCCTTTGAGACCATATGTATGGCAAGTTATAAACTTACCAGACTATTATGTACGCTTTACAAGCTCATACTTGACCTTTCTGCCCAGACAATTCCATACTACATTACAGAGTGGGAGATGGAGCTGAGTTGTAGCGTTTCAGCAAGGATGATTGACAAATCACCAAACTGATCCATACATCCTCAGTCTGTTCTAAAACACAAGGAGTTTTAAATGTTTGGCGAGTTGGTATAAGATTCTGGACAAATTGTCCCAGATTTTTCTGTCCATATCCTCACATTTTTGGAGGGGCATGTTTCTGCATATCTGGGGAAATTGTTCTACATTAAATCATTCTGAGCAGAGGTTCGGAACCTTATTGCCATGGCACTCAGCATCAGCTGGAAGACAATCCCTTTCCTGGTATTATTCCATGCTACCCACTTATCTGAAGGTAAATATAAAAGGTCCTTGCTATCTCACCTCCTCAATAGTAGAAGTCTTATACCATTATACTGAAAGCCCTCGAAGGTCCCCACATTGAGGGACTGGCTCCTTTGGGTGCAAGAAATTCAAACGGCAGAGTAGTGGTGATATCAATGTGCAGGAAAGTACTCCGTTTTATGAGACTTGGGTGCTATAAATTGAGTGTACTACCTCTGACACATATAAACAGTTGATGGTGTAATTTTTTGGATCAGAATTGAGAAACTAGTATTATTTCATAACCAATCGTTGCAAAGCTTTACTTAGGATGGTCCCCTAAAGAGTTTCTTGCTGTTTTTATCCCACCTCCTCTAGGTGGAAGGAGGTTCTCTTGTTCTGGTTCCTTCTTCCCTGCTTCCCTACTCTTATTCCCCTTACCCCTTTTCCTGACCTCTTCACTGAACCCTCTTTTTTTTTTTTGGGCTGTTTACAACCTGTTCTAGTATGGAGCCTTTGCCTGGGTCCTTTTTGTTTCTATTTTTGGTCTGCCCTCTGCATTATTTTGCTAGGATAATTTTCACGATACCTCCCTGGGTTATATGGGGTGTTTGAATTTTTGGGGGAAATTTGTTTGTGAGCTGTATCCCTTCTTATGTAGCCTGATTGGAGTCTCATTCTTTTATTCATTTACAGATTTTTTTTTTTTTTTTATATTGCCGATAAAGATTAAAACAAACAAAACAAAAAAAGCCTTCTGCCTTTACAATCGCTTTAAGCAGACTGCATTTTGTTATGAACTGTGCATTGCGATGGCTCAATACATCACTCACATGAAATGAAAGGTAGGAGTTCTTTTGAAATGTTTAGCAGCTCCAGATCCAAGTTTGTGCCAAGCATCTGGGGGAAGATATCCTTTGGCAAATCCTTCATCTTCACTCTCACTGTCTGGGTTTTCCAACCGATTAATACCCATGAATGTAAGCTGCAATAAGGAATAAAGGATCTTTGTATTTGCAGTAAAATCCTTTTCCATTGAGGGGCAAGGATTGATAATAATTAACCACCTGCCTATCAGGCCAATTCTGACATTTCTCTCCTACATGTAAAAATCTGCATTTTTTTTGCTAGAAAGTATTTTTTCCCAAACTGTATATTTATAATTTTAAGCAGAGGCCCTACAGAATAAAATGGTTGGTGTTGCAACTTCTTATGTCACACAGTATTTGCACACCAAACATGTCACACTTTAAAATTGTGCACACCCATGGAATGGTGACAAACCACAATAAATTAAATTATCCATAAGTGGCGCTTTACAAGTCTATACAGGTTACCAGTTTAGAGTTCAACAGAAGGTCTGGTGCTAGAATTAATGCTCTCATTTTGACACTCATGGCGATACCTCACTTGTGTTGAAATCACCATTTACATATGCATTCGGGAGCCACATGTGCGATCGGGATGGACAGAGATGTTAGAGGGGAAAGGCTTATTTTTTTTTATTTTAAAGTGATTCTTAAGGTTTGTTTGGTTTTTTTTTTTTAGAACAAAACAAACAGTCTATATTTACCTGCTGGGTGCAGTGGTTTTGCACAAAGCAACCTGGATCCTTCTCTTCTCTGGTTCTCCGCAGGCTCTCCTGGCTTCTCCCTCCTGTCGGGTAACCCAACAGCAAGCAGCTTGCTATGGGGGCACCCGCTGCTCTGTGTGTCCATTCACACACACAGAGCGGTCGCTCAGCCCTGCCACCCTCTCTTCTCATTGGCTCACTGGATGTGATTGACAGCAGTGGGAGCCAATGGTTCCCGATTCTGTCTCAGCCAATAAGTGGGAGTCCTGGGATTGTCGAGACTCCAGTGAACATCACTGGATAGAGGGGGGGCTTAGGTGAGTATAAGAGGAGACTGAGGGGGAGCTGCACACAGAAGGTTTTTTTTTTACCTTCATGCATAGATTGCATCAAACCTTGAGCCTTTACAACCACTTTAAATGTTTTTGCTTTAACACAGGAACTTTAACAGTCAACTTTATTGCTATTACAAGGGATTCACAACATCCCTTGTAATGGCATGGACCATGACAGGTACTCTTTTTGGAGAGATCTGGGTTCTGTTAGATCCCATATCTCTCCTCTGGACTCCAAAGCATCTCATCAAACTGAGATCGGTTTCATCGGATGCTTTCACAAATCTTGCAGCTTCTGGTTTTTTAACATCACACAGTGGAAGGAACAATATCATTGTGTCCAGGGAAGCCAATGGTGCCCGTCGTATTCTTACCAGGCTTCGTGATGGGACGGGACAGCACAGTAAAGGTGGCAGGAGGGTGGGACCCCTTCCGCTGCCTGTAAAAGTAATCCAGCAGTTGTACAGCTGCTCAAATTACTTTTAGGCCTCATACACTGGGCATAATACAGGACGCAGCTTGATAATTATACAATCTAGGGAAATTCTAAAGTAGTCCAAACAGAGGGACAGGTACACCAAAGAAGTACAGTGAATCAGTGAAGCTTTAAAAGCCTTTACACAGGTTACCACTTTAGAGTTACACAGGTGGTGTGCTGCCCTCAATCAGATGTTCAAGGTGAAACCCCTCACGTGAGTGGGACAATCGCTGTTTGCGCGTGTGCGGGACCAATGCCTGCATTCATCTTTACACATAAGCATGGGGGACAGGGGTGCCTTTATTTTTTTTAATACGTGTATTGCTATCACAAAGTGTATAAAGATCCCTGGTGATAACAGAAGGCAGTGAAAGGTACTCTTTACTGAAAGATCTGGGGTCTATTACCCCAGATAGTTCCTCTGTCCTTCACAGTGTCTGACCACACCAAGATCAGTGGGATCAGATGCTTTCCCAACTTAAAAATGGCGCTGTTTACATCCAGCAAAACCAGAAGCGATAATTGCTCCTTGCTTCCGGTTTCCTATATCACAGAGATGGTTAGAGCCATACTGGTCTCTGATTATCTCTATGGTCAGTCGGCGGAAGTGCCAGCTGGTTGCTCAGGTCTCCTGGTTGGATGGGAGAGCCTGAGAGAGCTGCGGAAAGTGGCGGGGGAAAGTCCACTCCCGCTGCTTGTAAAATCAATCCAGCAGCTAACTAGTTGCTTGTAAAATCAATCCAGCAGCTAATTAGTCGCTTTTACAAGAAAGCCGACCGTCGGCTATAAAACGCAATACAAGGATGATGCCTGAAACTGAAGGCATCATCCTGCTATAACAACCTTAAATCCAGCGATGTACAGGTAAGTCGTTGGTCATCAAGTGGTTAAAGCATGACTCCGAGGAACTAAAAAAAAAAAAAAAAAAAAATTCCCTTGCAGTGGGCTGTGCCTGCACTGCAAGGGTGTAATGCTTCTTTTGGTCGGGGGGGAAGAAAGGTTTGATTATCTAATCCCACGCTCATCCCCATCAGCTTATTACCCAAGCTCCAGCAGTCTAGGGTCCTCACACCATCAAGACCAAAGCAGGGTCCTTAGCCCTACACTGCATGTGATAACGATGAGGGACAGTTCACTGTCAAAGTATGGGGGAGCACCATCTGTCATGGGAGCAGAGGATCAAGTAAGTAAAACTATTTCTCCTCTCCCCTGAAAAAATGAGCTATTAACCCTTGCAGTGCTGGCACAGCCCCACTGCAAGGGTCATTTTAAAATTTTCCAAAAGGTGAACTTTACCCGAAATAATAAAATTACAAGAAATTGTGTTTTCTATCTGCTTGGTGTTCAGCTTTCATGCCAGTTCTGATTTTGCACAACTGAATCCTGGCCAAGTAAAACTTACCAAGTCCTCTGCAAATGAACTTGGGTCAAACACGGTCAGGTCTGTACGGAGTTGGCTGGCTTTCTCCTTCCCTAGATTTGATGCCAAAACTAATAATTGAGCGTCAAGTGCAGCTTCTCTGGCTTTGGACACTGAAATTGCAAATACATGTACCATGATGTACAGATGTAACATACTCATTAGGCTAGATTATGTATTATTTATAATGACTAGTTTGTTGCACAGAATCTACAAAAATAGTGAGTCAAGCTTTCCATACAAATACAGAACCAGAAAATACATAGAAGATTATGCTTTTTCCCAAATCAGTACACGTAACAATAAAAAGCAGACAATGATAAACAGCTTTTCACCGCACAGCTCATTTTTGACTTGCCTGAGTGAAAGCATGAACAATTTTAGTACATTACACCTGTACCATTCAAATGTATGGGTGGTTTTAGAACTATGTCTGTTAATCATGGGTAGTTTTATAGCTTTGTCATCACCTAAAAGATGCATACAGTATACACGACAGGTAAAAACTTTAAATCTGAAGTGTAGGTGTGGCAATTTTAACATAGTTACATTTAATTAGCTTAGCCCAATGTAAGTATGTGCCATACCAGTCAGATCCCTGTGAAAGCTGAAAATCCCTGTAATAGGCACCGCTACTGCAGTGATCTCAACCAGATTCCAGGTCCAGTGTCTACCCTGCTGTTTAGAGAACAGAGTGGGCCACAAACTCAGCACGGGCACTGCTCAGAATACACTTTGCACTCTCTCACATGTTGACATGACAAGGTGGAGATCATGATGTCACCACCCTCCCTTACGTCCTCATTGAATCAGAGAACACTTTGCATTCCCAGAATGGTGCCTGTATTGAGCAAGTGACCCCCTATGTTCACAATGCAGCAAGGCAGCTGCTTGGCACAAGACTTGGAAGCAAATGGAGATTACTGTGACGATTACAAATGGTTTCCAGCTGCCATGGGGATCTCACATGTATACTGTAGTACATATATACTTACAAAAGGTCCAAGATGGAACAACCTAACTAATGTAAAATACGCCATACCTAAACTTCAGCTTCAATAAATTAGATAAAAACGTGTAGATGTGGCCACTTACCTCCTTCAAAGAGTTTATTGGCTTGCTCCAAGGTCTCAGTCAGCCTGTTACTCCGGGAGCTGAGAATGTCTTCTCTGTTCTCTGCAGAAACAAAAAAAACCTGATTACAGAATAGAATCTCTGACCCAACATTAAACAAGAATAGCAAGCCATGATGGATTTTACAGCTGGGGCAGCACACTTGCCCTGTAGCTCTGGATCTAGATCCCAACCATATCTCTTGAAACCCTCTATAATGTTTGAGCAAGTTTCCTTCCATAGGTTAGACATAATGGTAGGTTAATTGGCTGCTACCCGAAATTGTCCAATGTTTGGGGGGGACCGGGAGTGATGTGAAAGTTTTATGTACCCTGGAAAGTGCTACATATAGTGAGGAACAGAAGTATTTGAACACCCTGTGATTTTGCAAGTTCTCTCCCACTTAGAAATCATGGAGGGGTCTGAAATTCACATTGTAGGTGCACTCCCACTCTGAGAGACAGAATTAAAAAAAAAAAAAAAAATATCAGGAAAATCACATTGTATGATTTTTAAAGAATTTGTCTTGTACTACTGAACATAAGTATTTGAACACCTGAGAAAATCAGTGTTCATATTTGGTACAGAAGCCTTTGTTTGCAATTACAGAGGTCAAACGTTTCCTGTAGTTCTTGACCAGGTTTACACACACTGCAACAGGGATTTTGGCCCACTCCTCCACACAGCTCTCCTCTAGATCTGTCAGGTTTCGGGGCTGTCGCTGAGCAACACGGAGTTTCAACTCCCTCCAAAGATGTTCTATTGGATTTAGCTCTGGAGACTGGCTAGGCCACTCCAGAACCTTGATATGCTTCTTACGGAGTCACTCCTTGGTTATCCTGTGTGCTTCGGGTCGTCATGTTAGAAGACCCAGCCACGACCCATCTTCAATGCTCTGAGGGAAGGAGGTTGTTGCTCAAAATCTCACAATAAATGGCCCCATTCATCCTCTCCTTAATACAGTGCAGTCGTCCTGTCCCCTTCGCAGAAAAACACCCCCAAAGCATGATGTTACCACCCCCATGCTTCACAGTAGGGATGGTGTTCTTGGGATGCAACATCCTTTTTCCTCCAAACACGACAAGTGAAGTTTAGACCAAAATGTTCTACTTTGGTCTTATCTGACCACATGACTTTCTCCCATGCCTCCTCTGGATCATCCAGATGGTCAAACTTCAGACGGGCCTGGACATGTGATGACTTGAGCAGGGGAACCTTCCGTGCAATACACGATTTGAAACCATGACGGCATAGTGTTCTACCGACAGTGACCTTTGAAACTGTGGTCCCAGCTCTCTTCATGTCATTGACCAGCTCCTCCCTTGTAGTTCTGGGCTGATTCCTCACCTTTCTTATCAGTGATACCCCACGAGGTGAGATCTTGCATGGAGCCCCTGTCTGAGGGAGACTGACAGTCATCTTTAGCCTCTTCCATTTTCTAACAATTGCTCCAACAGTTGATCTATTTTCACCAAGCTGCTTGGCAATTGCCCCGTAGCCCTTTCCAGCCTTGTGGAGGTCCACAATTTTGTCTCTGGTGTCTTTTGACAGCTCTTTCATCTTGCCCATGGTAGTAGTTGGCGTCTGACTGACTGTGGGGTGGACAGGTGTCTTTAAAGAGCTCAGACAGGTGCTACTAAGTTAGATTAATGAGTGGAGTAGAGGTGGACTTTTTAAAGGCACAGTAACAGGTCTTTGAGAGCCAGAATTCTTGCTGTTTATTAGGTGTTCAAATACTTATGTTCAGCAGTGCAAGACAAATAAATTCTTTAAAAATCATACATTGTGATTTCCTGATTTTTTTTTTTTCTCCAATTCTGTCTCTCAGAGTGGGAATGCACCTACAATGTGAATTTCAGACCCCTCCATGATTTCTAAGTGGGAGAACTTGCAAAATCGCAGGGTGTTCAAATACTTCTGTTCCTCACTGTATATTGTACATTCACATCAGCCCCTGCCCTCAAGGAGATAACAATCTAAGGTCCCTAACTTAGATTCATACATACACATACTAGGGCCAATTTAGACTGGAGCCAATTAACCTACCAGCATGTCTTTGGGGTGTGGGAGGAAATTGGGAGTACCTGGAGGAAACCCAGGATACTGACCAAATCAGGATGGCCGCTGGGACTCCTCGTAGTGCCAGCGGTGTAGCGTCAATCAGCTGTAGCTATACCCTGACGCGTTTCGAGCTATGACTCATAGTCATAGGGATTCAGCTTACCTGGTAACCACCCGACACCACGAGGAGTCCCGGCGGCCATCCTGATTTGGTCAGTATTACTCTTTTATACCCATCTGCCTGAACTTTGGAATAAATATCCTTGACATACTACACTATTGGCTTCCTCTGTTTTTTTGAGCCCCTGTGGGAGCTCATCATGATTGCAGAGCGTATGCTATTGGAGTATGGATTTTGAAGCAGTGGAGGCTACATCACCAGATCTGACCAGACCTATGTGAGGGCGTCTGATGCGTTTTTATGATATACAAATGCGCATAAAGATTGCGTATCTGGTGAGTGCGCAGTCTTTACCTTATTTTCTCACCTTTTTCACGTTTCCAGTTATTGGACGCCTGAAGATCATCAGCGATCTTGTTCACATTTTTTGGACTCATTTAGATTGGTTATAGATCTTTCACGATATTAGCCACATAATATAGTGGCATATATGCTTGCACAATGTCACCTTACTTATCTATTTATATACAAGGCTCATTAATTTGTGGACGTCTATGCGTCCGTCTGTGATTTCAACCACACTGTCACCTTTTGGTATGCTCCAAATTTTTTTTTTTTTTTTTTTTGCAATATTAGTCACAGATTCTAGTTGCATATGAATTTGCACAATGTCACCTTATTGATGATAACCGTATTTTTCGCTCCATAAGACGCACCTGACCATAAGATGCACCTAGGTTTTAGAGGCAGAAAACAGGAAAAAATTAATTCTGAACTAATCGGCTGCAGACATACTACAGGAGAAGACCAGAGACTGCGGACAGCACAGGGATGACCAGAGACTGCGGACAGCACAGGGATGACCAGAGACTGCGGACAGTACAGGGATGACTAGAGACTGCGGACAGCACAGGGATGACCAGAGACTGCGGACACAGTACAGGGATGACCAGAGACTGCGGACACAGTACAGGGATGACCAGAGACTGCGGACACAGTACAGGGATGACCAGAGACTGCGGACACAGTACAGGGATGACCAGAGACTGCGGACACAGTACAGGGATGACCAGAGCCTGCGGACAGCACAGGGATGACCAGAGACTGCGGACAGCACAGGAGATGACTGCTGACCTTTGGGGAGGGGGAGCGGGTACCTGAATTTGACAGGTACCCGCTCTTACTTCCACGGAGTTGTACTTTGATCTTACTTGTTCCTCTATCCAGCCGCGCGCTGTCTTCCCGGCTTCTGTAGTGTCGGCGCTCGGCATGACAGCCGGGTGCCCAGTGCGCATGGGCGAGAAGTACTTGCACTTTGTGATTGGTCCGGCGGCTTCTGGGATCTGTCATGTGTCCCAGGTACCGCCTTACCATTCACAAAAAGCACCGCTTCTTGCGCATACGCACTGGGCACCCGGCTGTCAAGCCCAGCACCCACACTACAGAAGCCGGGAAGACAGCGCGCCGCTGGATAGAGGAACAAGTAAGATCAAAGAACAACTCCGCGGAAGTAAGAGCGGGAATCTGTCAAATTCAGGTACCCGCTCCCCATCTCCCCAAAGGTCAGCAGTCATCTCCATAAGGTCCTGCTGCAGAGCTCAGCGGCCGGCCCGGTATTCTGACACGGCGGCGGTGGAAATACCGGACCGGCCGCTCCATATTCGCTCCATAAGACGCACTGACATTTTCCCCCCTTTTTTGGGGGGAAAAAAGTGCGTCTTATGGAGCGAAAAATACAGTAATTATCTATATATGAATTTAGCATATATACATTATATTTGTGATTTTTACCAGTGCTGTACCTTTTTAGTATATTACTGTTTACCTGAAGGTCTTATATGGTGTCTTTGGTGCATGGTCGCTATTCCCTGTGTTGATTGAGCGCTCACTTATTTTCAACTTCATGTAAATTAATTGGTTTACGTGAAAGTTATAGTGTTTACAACGGCGGTATATATACTGGAATTTTTAGTTTATATAGTAATGGGAGCGATCAGCGACTTATAGCGAGACTGCGGCAGGCATTCTGACACTGGGGGGAACTAACTGCCACTGACATCCCAATGACACTAATACAGTGATCAATGCTAATAAAAAGCACTGACACTGTACAAATGACACTGGGCAGGAAGGGGTTAACATCTGGGGAGATCAAAGGGTTGACTGTGTGCTGTGTGTCTTACTAGGAAGACATGCTGCTCTGTATTTCTTTGCTGTGCTGTGAATACAAAGCAGCATGTCCTTGTTGGCAGGAGAGAGACCTGTGTTGTTTACACAGGTCTTTCTCCTCTCAGTTTTACATGGCGATCGCCGGGTGCTGGTGGGGGAATCTCAGGACCCGGTGATTGATATCCCTAGCCACCAATGGCGGCGCAGGTAGGGCAGCGCGAGCCCCTTACCCGGAAATGCAAATCATGTATATATACACACATGATTCTGCGCAGCCATGCCGCCCTGTAGCAGTAGTTCTATTATAGGATGGCAGAGAATGCGTTTACTACACTGCAGCCATTCTCTTCCTCTTGCTCTACTGTGCCCAGGGCACCTGTCCCTCCTGCCCACCCCTTGTCCTGGCCCTGGATCACAGAGCTGACAATCAGCACTAAGACTGGGTGTTATCCAATTAACAGTTTTGTCCAGGGTTCCTATCACACTATAGGCTGCTCTGCATGCTCGCCCTCTTCTCCCCCCCAGGACACTCACGTTGCATGTTCTGCATTAGCTCCCGGTACTTGTGTCGGATCTCCCGTCGGCTCCCATTGTCCCGCTCTCCTGCTCCGTCCCCGTCCATGAACGAGTCCCCATGGTCCTCCCCACTCGTGGATCTCCGGCTGGACATCCTGGAAGAGCCCGATGACAGCCGCCCGAACTCCGATTACTTGGCTTTGGCGCCGCAGCACTACGGAGGCCGGCAGGGACCGGGGGAACACGTGACCCAGCGGGGCTCTGCGGACCAAGCCTCGTTCTGATCCCTCTAAATTCAACTTTATTTAATCACTGAGAACACAAAGGTCAGAGATGAGGTGTGGCAGATGTTAGAGGTTCCACTCTGGAAATGTAGTCGGTTTTGAAGACTAACACTTTCTGTAAACCCAACGTTCCATATTCCTGATCTGTGTCTGCTCTACCATGTATCTGGATTTAACCACTACCTACAGGGCACTTATACTGCCTTCCTGCACAGGCCAATTTCTAGCTTTCAGCGCTGTCACACATTGATAATTGCGCGGTCATGCAACACTACCCATATGAAATATGTATCATTTTTTTTTAGACAAAGCTTTTTTTATGGTATTTAATCACCTCTGGGTTTTTTTTATTTTTTGCTAAACAAACCAAAAACAACTGAAAATTCTGAAAAAAAAATTTTTTTTTTTCTTAGTTTTTGTTATAACATTTTGTGAATAAGTGATTTTTCTCCTTCACTGATGTGCGCTAATGAGGCTGCAGTGATGGGCACTGATATGCTGCACTGATAGGTGGCACTGATGAGGAGGCACTGGTAGGTGACACTGATAGGCATTGACAGGCGTCACTGATGGGTACTGAAATGCAGCACTCATATATGGCACTGATAGGCGGCACTGATAGGCAGCACTGACGGGCACAGAGAGGCGGCACTGACGGGCACAGATAGGTGGCACCGACTGGCACTGATAGGCAGCACTGACAGGCACAGATAGGTGGCACTGACTGGCACTGACTAGGCAGCACTGACTGGCATTGATAGGTGGCACTGACTGGCACTGATAGGTGGCACTGAAAGGCAGCTCAGATGGGCACTGAGATGTGGCATTGATATGGCACTGATGGGCACTGGCAGGTGGTATTGATGAGCACTGACAGCTGGCATTGGACACAGACAGGTGGCACTGCTGGGGCTACACTGATCATCAGGGCACACTGATCATCAGTGCCCTGACGATCAGTGTACATGTCCCCTCCGAGGAATGCCGATTACCGACTCTCCTCTCCTCTGGAGCCGTCAGCGTGACAGCTCGTGACGAGAGAAATGCTGATAACCGGCATTCCTTATTTACATGTGATCAGCTGTGATTGGACACAGCTGATTGCATGACCAAGCTGACATCTTCGGCTCTTTCCGTTGATCGGTCCGAGGGACACAGCGCACCGCCGATCGCCGCGCTGTGTGCTCCCGGAGCAACGCACATGTGGTTAGAGAGAACCGCCTTACGCCCATCATTTCCTTATATGGTGGGCAGGAGGCGGTTAAAGTATCCTGTTACTTTGTATTGCTTCCTTTGTGTAAAATCCCTGGTGTTCCTGCCAGTCCCTCTGCTTTCCTATTGAAAACTGACCACACTAGGCATGAGAGTACATTTGCGTGCAGCCGGCGCCAAGAGGGTAAAGTAGAATTATTGGCAGAACCTTTTTTTTTTCATTTGGGATAGAATAATGGAGGGTTGAAACCTCTATCGGATTTTTTTGCCATCTGCCATTTTGCAGAGATTTCCCTTCACTTCCTGTCCCACAGCCAAAACAGGAAGTGAGAGTTAATCTGTGAAAATTAAGGGAATCCCTTGAAACCCCCCCATCCCAGATCACCACAACCAATGTCCCCATGGGAAGATTTCCTCTCTAATACTTTTCTGGGGACAACCCAAAATTTGGGATTTTCTTTTACTTTCAATGATAATGGTGAACACAACAAATAGAGAGGGGGAAGCTCCCTAATGGGGGCACAGACTGCAATGAAAACCTGGCAGGCGTTGTAATTCCTCTCCACTCTATGCAAAGCTGAGAAAAGTTTTGCCTTTAGTTATACCTTAAGTTTACACTAGCCTCAAATGTAGGTGATTCCTGGGTGTTCTTTAAGCTGTTGGAACGCCTGTCAAAATGGAGTGCGCTGCAGTGTTGTTCACTTGTCTGCATTGCATGGCATAAAAATTGACCCAAGCTTTACCATTCCCTAAATGCTTCCATTGATGTCAAAGTAAATACACAACAAACACCCCTATGGTGTTTACAGCGCATTTGATTTCATTTAGAAAACGTCACAAGCCAAGATGATGATATAAATATCCATGCAATAGAAAATCAACACAGAGGGCATCTGGCAAGTGTTCAACACAATGCAAAAAATGAATTGTTGACACATCTTAATGCATTAGGTGTGTTAATGGCCGCTCAGATTTCTGTGCATTTCTAAATGAGCCCTTATCATGTTATCATTTAGGTAAAGCAAAGGATAAAGCCGGTCATACATGTGTTATGCTACCCCCTTGAGGGCCACTGGATTTTACTGGGTCCCCCTAAGCTCTGCACAGCGAGAAAATACATATTTTTCCACATTTTCTTTCAGAGTAACTAAAACAGTCCTTGAGCTTGTTTTTTTGTTGTTGTATTTATTAGAGGTTAACAACTTGGATGGGGTCTAGGGGTATATGGGATGCCCAAGGAACTTCAGAACTTGAGGACAACTTTTCAGTAAAACTGTACAAAAACGTGGATCAAAAATTAGCAACAGTCTTTAACATGGAGCGCTCTCCTCATCCACCCGGCTGTCCTGAGGTTATCCTTGGGCAAGGGTTTCCAGAATGTACTGTGAAGCAGTCCCAGATGAGGACTAGTTGGGTGTTGCACCTGACCGCTGAAAGGGTTGTTAACTAACTTTTGCTTTGTGCCTACCAACTGGTTTATTTTACATACAAGACGTTCCCGTGAGATTTGAATTCTGTTATGTTGTACAGGCTGCAGAGCTCATAGCTCTGACCCGTGCCTGGAATTATTTGAAGGAAAAGATGTTAACATTTACACAGATTCCAAGTACGCATTTGGTGTAGTGCATGATTTTGGCAAAATCTGGCAGTGCAGGGGATTTGTTACAGCAGATGGTAAAGGTATTTCTCATGCATCTTTAGTGAATGATATTTTTGGAAGCTATACACAAACCCCAGCTGTATAGGTAAAAGACACACAGTGAGCGCTCTCAAAGATGTTGGTTATGTGTTATAGAAGACACTGGTAGTGATAGCAGAATTCAGGCTTTACTTGTGTGGCTTAAGTTACAAACATACAGAGCACATTTCAGCAGACATATTACAGCAGACTTATTACTTCCTGAAGAGATGATAGAGAGGAGGAAGGAATCAGCAAGTTTTACACATACACAACTAGTAACCTTTAGTGTATAGTGCCATCTACTGGTCAAGTGATATTACCACAGAATACTGTATATAGTACATTATAGTACATGCTGTTGCATTCCCAACACCCCTTCTGTCAGGGCTCCCGGGTATGACCAGAGGTGTGTGACTGACGCAGGGAAACGCAGACTTCAGATATGTTATAAACAATATAATTTATTAACACTAACAATACAAACATAAACGCAGTGCAATACTAAAACATAACACAGTGCAAACAAACCAAACAAACCACCCACAGATAACATTACATACAATGCAAGCGTCGTCAGGCAGGCCGGGTCAATATCAATCGAGCAGGTAGGTACAGGGGGAGCAAGCGGAGAATGGTCGGGGTCACAAGCCAGGTTCAGCAGGTAGCGGGCAGAGTGGTACAGAGGGTCAGGCAGAGGGATGGTCAGGAACGAGCCGGGGTCAGAGCAGGAGAAGTCAGCAGAGGTCAGATCAGGCAGGGTCAGCGACAAGACAGGAACAGGAACAGGAACAGGATGCAGGAACAGGATACAGGGCCCAGGAAAAACACACACCAAGGCAGAGTCTGCAGGTCTTGCCATCCCTTAAATACACCAGTATAATCAGTTCCAGGTGTTTGACTGGCTGCAAGGTTGAGTCTCTGATTGCTGGGAGCACCCGCTGGCCAGCCCTGGTACTGCAGCTCATAAGGCAGGTGAGTCCCACTATTGCTGGCCAGTCCATTCCTGACAGTACCCCCCCCTCAAGGAGCGGCCTCAGGACGCTCCAAACAGTCCTAGCTGGGCAAAATGTTCCACCGCCCGGGTCTGGTAACTGGCGGGATATCAAAGACTGGCACACCGGGCAGGGGCACACCGGGCAGAGGCACACCGGGCAGAGGCACACCGGGCAGAGGCACACCGGGCAGAGGCACATCGGGCAGAGGCACATCGGGCTGGACTCCGGGCAGAGGCACATCGGGCTGGACTCCGGGCAGAGGCACATCGGGCTGGACTCCGGGCAGAGGCACATCGGGCTGGACTCCGGGCAGAGGCACATCGGGCTGGACTCCGGGCAGAGGCACATCGGGCTGGACTCCGGGCAGAGGCACATCGGGCTGGACTCCGGGCGAAGCGGCAGGCAGCGGGCCACCGGGCGGAGCGGCAGGCACCGGGCCACCGGGCGGAGCGGCAGGCACCGGGCGGGGCGACAGGCATCGGGCCCCCAGGGCGGGGCGACAGGCATCGGGCCCCCGGGAGGGGCGACAGGCATCGGGCCCCCCGGCGGGGCGACAGGCATCGGGCCCCCAGGGAGGGGCGACAGGCATCGGGCCCCCAGGCGGGGCGACAGGTCATCGGGCCCCCAGGCGGAGCGGCAGGCGCTCGGGCCCCCAGGCGGAGCGGCGGGCGCCGGACCCCCAGGCGGAGCGACAGGTCTCGGGCCCCCAGGCGGAGCGGCGGGCGCCGGGCCCCCAGGCGGAGCGACAGGTCTCGGGCCCCCAGGCGGAGCGGCGGGCGCCGGACCCCCAGGCGGAGCGACAGGTCTCGGGCCCCCAGGCGGAGCGGCGGGCGCCGGACCCCCAGGCGGAGCGACAGGTCTCGGGCCCCCAGGCGGAGCGGCGGGCGCCAGGACCCCCAGGCGGAGCACAGGTCTCGGGCCCCCAGGCGGAGCGGCGGGCGCCAGGGCCCCCAGGCGGAGCGACAGGTCTCGGGCCCCCAGGCGGAGCGGCGGGCGCCGGACCCCCAGGCGGAGCGACAGGTCTCGGGCCCCCAGGCGGAGCGACAGGTCTCGGGCCCCCAGGCGGAGCGACAGGTCTCGGGCCCCCAGGCGGAGCGACAGGTCTCGGCCCCCAGGCGGAGCGACAGGTCTCAGGCCCCCAGGCGGAGCGACAGGTCTCGGGCCCCCAGGCGGAGCGACAGGTCTCAGGCCCCCAGGCGGAGCGGGCGGGCGCCAGGACCCCCAGGCGGAGCGACAGGTCTCGGGCCCCCAGGCGGAGCGGCGGGCGCCGGACCCCCAGGCGGAGCGACAGGTCTCGGGCCCCCAGGCGGAGCGACAGGTCTCAGGCCCCCAGGCGGAGCGACAGGTCTCGGGCCCCCAGGCGGAGCGCGGGGGCGGTCTCAGGCCCCCAGGCGGAGCGACAGGTCTCAGGCCCCCAGGCGGAGCGACAGGTCTCGGGCCCCAGGCGGAGCGACAGGTCTCAGGCCCCCAGGCGGAGCGACAGGTCTCAGGCCCCCAGGCGGAGCGACAGGTCTCAGGCCCCCAGGCGGAGCGACAGGTCTCAGGCCCCCAGGCGGAGCGACAGGTCTCAGGCCCCCAGGCGGAGCGACAGGTCTCAGGCCCCCAGGCGGAGCGACAGGTCTCGGGCCCCCAGGCGGAGCGACAGGTCTCCGGACCCCAGGCGGAGCGACAGGTCTCGGGCCCCCAGGCGGAGCGACGGGGCCAGGACCCCCAGGCGGAGCGACCCCCAGGCGGAGCGACTGGTCTCAGGCCCCCAGGCGGAGCGGCTGGTCTCAGGCCCCCAGGCGGAGCGACAGGTCTCAGGCCCCCAGGCGGAGCGACAGGTCTCAGGCCCCCAGGCGGAGCGACAGGTCTCAGGCCCCCAGGCGGAGCGAGCGACAGGTCTCAGGCCCCCAGGCGGAGCGACAGGTCTCAGGCCCCCAGGCGGAGCGACAGGTCTCAGGCCCCCAGGCGGAGCGACAGGTCTCAGGCCCCCAGGCGGAGCGACAGGTCGGCCCCCAGCGGAGCGGCGGGCGCCGGACCCCCAGGCGGAGCGGCGGGCGCCGGACCCCCAGGCAGAGCGACAGGTCTCGGGCCCCCAGGCGGAGCGGCGGGCACCGAGTCACCAGGCACGACAGTGGGCTCCGAGTCAACTGGCATGACCGCTGGCACTGGGTCAGACATTGGATCGTCTGGCTGGACAGCAGGCATCGGGTCACCAGGCATCAGGTCATTTGGCTTGACAGCGGGCACCGCATCATCTGGCAAGGCAGTGGGCTCCGAGTCAACTGGTATGACCGCGGGCACTGGGTCAGACATTGGATCGTCTGGCTGGACAGCGGGCATCGGGTCACCAGGCATCAGGTCACTTGGCTCAACAGCGGGCACCGCGTCATCTGGCAAGACAGTGGGCACCAAGTCACCAGGCACGACAGTGGGCTCTGAGTCAATTGGCACGACAGCGGGCACCGGGTCATCAGGTACCGGATTGTCTGGCTCGACAGCGGGCATCGGGTCACCAGGTATGACAGCGGGCACTGGGTCACCAGGCATCAGGTCATTTGGCTCGCCAGCGGGCACCGCGTCATCTGGCAAGGCAGTGGGCACCGAGTCACCAGATACGACAGCGGGCTCTGAGTCAATTGGCACGACAGCGGGCACCGGATCAGGTACCGGATCATCTGGATCAACAGCGGGCATCGAGTCAACTGGCTAATAGGATCGTCAGGCTGGATCAGTTCATCATGCTGGGTAGAGGCATCAGGCTGAATGCAGGCATCAGGCTGAATAGAGGCATCAGGCTGAGTACAGGCATCAGGCTGAGTACAGGCATCAGGCTGAGTACAGGCATCAGGCTGCGTACAGGCATCAGGCTGGGTACAGGCATCAGGCTGGGTACAGGCATCAGGCTGGGTGTAAGGGACCGCCTGGCGACACCACTAGCACTCCACTAATCAGGCGTCCCCAGCGCACGGAGTCTAAGTCCCAGAGTACTTGTTCACCAGAGCCCCTGATGGTGGGGATGGACTTGGAGTACCCCGGGACCAGGTCGTGCTTACTGAGGGCACCCGTCAGTGGTAGGGGTGGTCGCCAGGGGCTCCCACGGGAGAGAGCCTGATATGAGGAGGTCTGGGAACCCCGCTGAGAGGAATGGATGGATGGATGAGCAAGTGCAGAGTCAGGCAAGCCGGGTCGGTAACGGGGAGGACAGCACGGTACAAGGCAGCGGGCAGAGAATAGTCGGGTCACATGCCAGGTCATCAACAGTAGGTCAAATCCAATAGGGGACATACGGAAGAGAGGTCAGGCAAAGCAAGGGTCTGGGCAGGAGAATTCAGCAGTGGTCAGGTACAATCCGGGTCAGCAACTTACAGGTTCAGATACAGGATACAGGATACAGGTCAAGGACAAGACCAGAAGGCACTGAATGACAGCTCAGGGCCGTTTAAATATCGCGCCCTGCGCTGCCATTGGTGCCCAGCGGGCGGCCGCGGCTCCTATTGCGCATGCGCGAACTCACGCGCCGCGGCCGGCCCGGGACCTAGAGCCCGCGTCCATGCACAGGGCGGCATACTGCGCCTGCGCCGGGACCATCGCGGCGGGGATCGAGGGGATCCCTGACATTGCCCCCCCCTACGGGCAACCTCCGGATGCCCACCCGATCTCTCCACCACGGGTGGTCACGAAGAAACCGCCGGACAAGTCTGGGTGCATGGACATTATGGGCTGGTTCCCAAGAATTGTCCTCGGGGCCATAGCCCTTCCATTTTATAAGAAATTGGGTCTGGCCCTCCCTTCTTCGGCACTTCAGGATCGTTTCCACCTCATATTCTTCTTGTCCCTCCACCGTTATGGCCTCCGGAGGCCTGGATTCACGTTCTGGGAAGGCATCCGGGATCACAGGTTTAAGTAAGGACACGTGGAAAACAGGATGAATTCTGAATGTTTCAGGGAGGGTAAGTTCATATGCCACCTCGTTGACCATTCGCTTCACACAAAAAGGCCCCACGAATTTAGGTCCCAATTTCTTTGAGGGACAAAGCATTCTCAAGTTGGTTGTTGCCAACCAGACCTTATCCCCAGGCTTCAGCACCAGATTCCCTCTTCGTTTCTTGTTATATGCATTCTTGTTATCCTACTGGGCCCGAGCGATGGCTTCCTGTAGTACTTTGTTGTTCGAGGAGAAGAAGTTTAATGCGTCTTGCGTTGCCGGAACTGGGCACTCAGAGACCAAATCAGGAAGAAAGACAGGGTGAAATCCGTAATTAGAGAAGAACGGAGATTGCCCTGTCGCTGAATGGCTTGCGTTGTTATATGCAAATTCCGCTAAAGGCAACAGTAGTAACCAATTATCTTGAAGGAAGGATGTGTAGCAACGCAAGTATTGTTCTAGGGTCTGGTTTGTCCTCTCGGTCTGTCCGTTGGTCTGAGGGTGGAAAGCAGAGGAGAGGGACAACTTGATATCCAGGGCCTTGCACAGGGCCCTCCAAAATCTAGATGTAAATTGGACCCCGCGATCCGAGACGATGTCCTCCGGGATTCCATGTAACCTTACGATTTCCTGGATGAATATTCGCGCAGTCTCGGACGCAGACGGAGTCCTCCTCAATGGTACAAAGTGAGCCATTTTCGATAATCGATCGATGACCACGAACGAGATCGCGGTGTGTTCTTGGGACGGTGGGAGCTCGACTATAAAGTCCATTGCAATCCCTTGCCACGGTCGTTCAGGAATCGGCAAGGGACGCAGCAGTCCCCAAGCCTTGTTCCTCGATGGCTTGTTTTTCTGGCAGACGGTACAGGATCTTACATAGAGTTTACAATCCTTGGCCATACTTGGCCACCAAAAAGAGCGTTGGAGAAGCTCCAGGGTCTTGGCTGGGCCAAAGTGTCCCGCCATCGGGTGGTCATGGCAATGTCCCAGGACAAGGGTCCGGACCTCTTCAGGGACCATGACCAACCCATCCTTCCATAGGAGTCCCCCCTGTTCTGGAGGGACACACCAACTGGGACTGACGCGGCCGTGGATGCCTCCAATAGTTTGGACCGAAGGTCCGTCTGGAGCGCCAAGAAATTTCCTGCAGACAGAATCGTATCAGGTACCGGATCTTCTTTGGAGTCTTCAAACATGCGAGATAGTGCATCAGGTTTCGTATTTTTAGATCCGGGCCTATACGTGATGTGAAAAATTAACCTGGAGAAGAACAATGCCCATCTTGCCTGCCGTGGGCGTAAGCGTTTGGCGGTCCTTAGGTACTCGAGATTCTTGTGATCAGTGAAGATCAAGATGGGGTGCGAGGCACCTTCCAGCAGGTACCTCCATTCTTCGAGAGCTGTTTTGATGGCCAACAACTCTCGATCGCCGATATCGTAGTTCTTTTCTGCTGGGGTAAGTTTCCTTGAGAAGAACGCTACAGGATGGAGCAACTCTTTGGTGCCCTTTCGCTGGGACAGGATGGACCCCACCGCATTCTCTGAAGCGTCTACTTCCAAGATGTATGGCAGGGCAGCGTCCGGGTGGCCCAGAATGGGTGCCAAGGTAAAGAGTTTCTTCAAGGCCTCAAAGGCTTCCTGAGCCTCCGGCGTCCATCTGAACCGGGTTCCAAGCTTGGTCAACTGAGTTATGGGGGAGACCAGACCCGAGAAGTTCTTAATGAACTTCCGGTAGAAATTCGCAAAACCGATAAACCGCTGGACGCCCTTCTTGTCCGCGGGTACCGGCCACTCCAAAATCGCCGAGACTTTCTGAGGGTCCATTGCGACCCCCGCGGTGGAGATAATCAACCCCAGGAACGTAATGCTAGGTTGCTCAAAGCAACACCTATCTGCCTTGGCGTATAACCCATGCTGACGTAACCGCCCCAACACCCTTGCCACATGTATCCTGTGATCCTTCAGGGAGGATGAGAAAATCAGTATATCGTCCAGGTAAACGATAACGAAAATGTCCAGGTAATCCCTAAAAATATCGTTTACGAAATGCTGAAATGTGGCTGGTGCATTGCACAGACCAAATGGCATGACCAGGGTATTCAAAGTGCCCAAATCGTGTACGGAACGCGGTTTTCCACTCGTCCCCCTCCCTTATGCGAACTAGGTTGTACGCCCCCCTTAGATCAAGTTTAGTAAATATGACCGCAGTCTTCAGGCTCTGAAATAACTCTGGCACTAACGGTAATGGGTAACGATTTTTAATCGTGACCCTGTTCAGCTCCCGGTAGTCTATACATGGTCTCAGAGATTTGTCTTTTTTTTTTCCACGAAGAAGATCCCCGCCCCTGCTGGCGAAGTGGAGGGACGGATGAACCCCTTCTGGAGACTGTCCTCAATGTATTCCTTCAGGGCCCCCAATTCGAGTTCCGATAGGGGAAAAATTCGCCCAAAAGGAATCTCAGAGCCGGGTAACAGGTCAATGGGACAGTCATACGGGCGGTGGGGGGGCAGGACATCTGCTCCCCGTTTACTGAACACGTCCAGGAATTCATGATATTCTGTGGGAATAACCTGTTTCAGATCAGAATCCCCCTCGGAGCATAGGAGGACCTGGGGGCCTGCCGGGCCTGAAGTGCGGCAGTGTTCCTGACAGTATGGGGAAGGGAACAAGATCGACCCGGTTTCCCAGTCAATTTGGGGGTTATGGGCCCGTAACCAAGGGAGCCCCAAAATGACTGGGAACAGAGGTGACGCAATGGCATCCAGGCGGAGGAATTCCCGGTGTTGGTTGGCAATGGTAGTGGCAATGGGGGGAGTTTCCGGATTAACCACTCCTGATTTTATCTGGGAACCATCGGCCAAAAATATGTTAAAACCCCTCTTTCTGGGTTGGAGGGGAATTTTCTGCTGACGAGCAAAGTCTAAATCCAGAAAACAACTGCATGCCCCCTAATCAATTATGGCTGTCACTTCCACGGTCCTTTCGGGGAGCTGAAAGGAGAGGGGTACAACTAAGTATTGGGAAGGACTGACATTGCCATTAGACAAGGAAGAAAAAGAGGTACACTTACTCATTTTCTGAGGGCAGGATGGTACCATATGTCCTTCTTCCCCGCAGTAGAGGCAGAGGTTCTGCGAGCGTCTCCGCTGGTGTTCTTCTGGCGATAATTTGGGTCGAGCCAGGCCTAGTTGCATGGGTTCTGGAACATCTCCTGGGAGTGGATTCTGGATACTTGGTCTAGGTGGTTGGCTGGGGCCTAGGAATGGACCCCAGTTGTTTCCACGACCCTGGCCGGACCTCTCAAACCTGCGTTCCCGCAGTCGTCGGTCAATCTTTATCGTCAGGGCAATTAGGTCCTCTAATGACTCAGGAACCTCTACCCGGGCCAGCTCATCCTTTAGGGATTCTGATAGCCCCATGCGGAACTGGTGCAACAAAGCAAACTCGTTCCAGCGAGTGTCCCCCATCCAGCGCCTAAAATCTGAGGCGTATTCCTCGGCCGTCCGACGGCCCTGTCGGAGTGTGTATAAGATTGCTTCGGCAGAAGCAGCCTGCTGCGGGTCATCATATAGGATGGCCATCGCCTCAAAGAAGTCCTTGACTGTTCCTAGGTGTGGGTCATTGTTTCCCCTTAACCGATGGGCCAATCTTGGGGTTCGTCCTGCAACAGTGAGATTATAAATCCCACCTTCACTGATTCGGTCAAAAAGGTACGGGGTTGAAGTTCAAAAAATAGGAGGCAGGACTCACGGAATGACCTGAAGCGTGTGCGGTCCCCGTGAAAAACGCTCCGGTAGGGGTACCCGGGGTTCCGCCATAGGTAGCGGGGCGGAGGCCCCTGATGCTGGCTCAAGAGCAGCCGGGGGTGCAGAAACTGGGGCCTGTGGGGCTGGGTCAGATAGGGAGCAGGTCTGGAAGCGGTGCTCCAGCTGCATGCATTTATCCTGCAGGGCTGCTACGGCCTGCGTCAGGTTAGATAGATGCCTGCAAATTTCTTCCAGCGGGGAGGGCCCTCCTCTAGGCTCAGTCATGGCCTTCTGGTA